GCTTACTTCTTGGTTTCTGGGCAAATTAGATAGGTTAACATATATGAAACCCTTAGGCACTATCAGATTCTGGTATACAAGAGAGAAAGATGAAACTGCCAACTTGTATTCTAGCTTCTTAAGGTAATATATTAATACCACTTGAGTCTTAAAAATTCAGTCTCAAAAAAGGTCCCGAACTAGCTAGCCCACCTGCTTTGAAATTGTATGTACTGCACACAAGGACTCTACAAAGCTGCACAGTAACAGATGAGCATATACAGCCTTCACCTAAAATTCATATTCTATCAGTATCCTCTCATCTTCTTTTGGGGAAATGATGTTAGACTAAGAAATGCATGGGGATAAATGAATGCATTTTTAAATTGAGGGATAGACAATTTCTAAATGACAGCACATTAACTCATACTAAATGAAACAGATTGAGAATTTTAACTGCTGTACAATTGAAGCAACTGTATCAATCAAATATTCCAATGCATTGAAACAGGTGTATATAGTTCTTGAATTGCAGAGATAGATGAGCATGGAAAATTCTCATTACAATAAAAACTGCCACTTAATACCAGACTTGGCTTATAAAGTGTAAGTAGGTAAGAGAGTTTTCGTTTCATGAATTCTAGATACAATTTCAAGTTAATATGAACAAAATTCTACCTATTACATCATGTAAGTCATCAACATGAATTTGTCTTCTTGAACCATGTCTAGACATTGACCATGGGGATCAGGAAGCCCATAGCACATTTGGAAGAGTAATTCAAGGGAAACTGTATATAATAGTCGTCAGGAAAATGTCATCCCCTATGTTATTCCAAACATTAAACATTGTTCCTAATCTAAGGAAGCTCTCAGGAAGTCAATTTCTCCATGCCATCTTTGGCAAGTCATTCGAGTGATTTCTACAAATAAGTCCAAAGCGGATGGTGGTGTTTCCGAGAACTAAGTAAAGAGTTCTCCAGAATGAAGGGATAGTTCACTGGTCTTCTTTCCGGGATGGTATAATCAAAGAACAAAAGGAAGACCTCAAGCATCTACTTAATCTGTAGAGATTTTTTTAAAAAGTATTCGAGGATTTAAAGAGTGACTGAAGATTTTCTAACATATACATGCTACTGGATTGTTTGTTAAGTCATCTCTCATAACACTAAAATCATGCCAGGGCTGGGAGGAAAAGGACAAAAATCAAATTTGTACCAACTATGTAAAAAACAAGATATTTAAGAAAACTGTTCCAGTTATGTCATTAGACAACATTTTCAAAGGCTCAAGTCTTAAATATTTTATTTACTTTTTTCTTTCATTTTTAAAATAAGTACCTGAGATGGCATTAATCAATGACTTGAGGAGCCTAGAAAAATGCTATATTTTTCTTCCAAGTCCAATGTAATTTTTTTTTTTTACTTTTGATCTAGATATTATTCTACAAGATTGAAGAATTAGTGTATTTACTTCACATTAATGTGAAGTATCATTCCTTGTACTTTGGTGTTTCTTATCAACCTTATACTGCTAGCCCAACAATGTGCAGTTTGGATATTTGAAAAAAACAATACAGGCATTAACTAAACAAATAATCAACTCATATGGTACCAAATGAATTGTTTTTTCCCAAAGGGCTTAATTTATATGAAATAGTAAGTTTATGCGCTAGGGTCATCTAGTTTTTCTGGTTTTCTAGACTACAAAGACTCATTTATTGGGTATATGTCTGTGTCTTTTAAAACATTTTATCAAAATCACCTTCAACTGCAGATAATTTTAGAGTGTCTGTAATGTTAACATGAGATGGACATGTTAAATGAACTTGATTTAAGTTAATAATGAGATTACTCCACGGCCTTAATATTGATGCTAAAAAACAATGAACTATATTCTCTTTTCTATTTCTCAGAGATTTGGTTACAAACTGTGTTGAGTAGTTGTTCTTATTTTTCTTTTTTAAAGATTTATCTATTTCTAAAAAAGAATTGCGGTACAGGCCAGAGATGCAAGGGTGAGAGGATTCACCAGAGCCAGAGCGGGAAACAGAACAGGCAGATGGATCAAGAAAAACTGCTGAGGGGAGCAGCGGGCGAGACAGGAGAGGTCCGTCCCGCCATGTGGGCCTCTCCCTGGCTGGCCGGAATGGAACTCGTGCTGCAGTGGCTGCGGATCTCTTCATAGGTTGCGTCCCAACTCCTGCACCACCAGGGAGTTCCAGTTGTTCTTATTAAGTTATTTTATAAACCTGCCTATTGCTCAGAGTCACTTGAACCACAGTCATCAAGGCTTAACTAGAACAAGAGGGTATTCAAAAATCTGACTTATCATAAAAGAGACTTTCCCATAGTAAGCAAAAGGGATAAGGGCTTTTTCTTCTCCCAGGGCTGTTGAACACACATACCCCTATGTGGTTTCATTACCTTTTCAGGAGGACAAATTACAGAGGGGATTGAGGTGGGAGGGTTTAGGTCTATAGTTCTAGCGTGAGATGGACAAGACATGGGTCCTTATCACATGCAGCTTTGTTGGGTTTCCACTGAGACCTCCTGGTCCATTATGAGATATTCTCATCTATATTGAACTACAAAAAGCCTGTTGGTTAGACTGCAAGGAAATGTCACTGTAAAAGAAGTTTCCCTGGTTCATAAAAAATGTAATATTTAAGCAAGATGTTTCATTAGCTTTCAGAGCAATCTAGTCTGTTCTCTGAACCATTAATGACCTATTGCAAAATTCTGTGCCTGTTAAGTAAATGACAGTGAAATACTTAAGGAAAACATGGAGGGATATAAGTGATGAGCTAGGAATTCCATCTGTAGGTTCCCTTTATGATCCCTATTATAGTCATTAAATAAAAGTAGCTTGAGTTAGTCCTTGAAGTTTTAGACAGATTCACTCCACAATGGCATCTGCTGTTTTCTGGTCTTATTATATAGGCATTTTTAGCAACACAGAATGCAATTAGATCATTTGTTTCCTTAACTGAACTCTATAGCCCTGTGCGAAGACAAGTCTTCTTTGAAAGCCACTCTTTAGTTCTTAATCCAATATTTATTAAAAAGAATTAATGCTGTAGACAAGGAGGTAAAGACAAATCCTCAAAAAAAAAAAAAAAAAAAAAAAGAAAAAGACTCCCAATCATAATCAAACCCTACTACAACCCACAGAAGCCTTGTATTGTACAGATTTTGAATTTAGGAATATTTTTACTGTTGCAATTTTTTTTGTTTGTTTTAAATAGAAGGTACTCCTTAACAAACTATAGAAGGATCTAAATAATTAGTTCAAAGAAATAATACTTACAAGTTTTCTTAGTGCCTCTAAAATAAGCAAACTTCTGCTTTTAGGGCTGATTATTAGAAGTGGAATATGAATAAAATTTCTTTCTCAGAGACAGTCTGTCCAGTATTGAGGGTATCTCCCCTAAATTCCATTTTACATTTGCATCTCATCTAGAATATTCTTTTAAGATGAATAAACAGATGCCATATAGAATATGTCATCCCTCTCACACTGTGCCGAGCCAGGGACTAGGCATGTGGTGAATCACTAGTTACTCTAGATTTTCTTCTGAAGCCAAGCCAATTACAAGGCCTTCAAATACTGACAACCATTTTATGTTTAGCATAGACTGATGATTGTTTGATGCCTCAAAGTCAGTTTACCCTCAAAAAAATGCTCGTGATCAGCACTAGCGTGTTAATTCATGTAACATATCTATGTCCCTACTATGTGTCAGGTACTCTTTCAGAGCTTTGGATACATCAGTGAGAAAAGCAAAGATCTATTCTTTTATAGAGTTTACACTAGAGCAGAGGAAACACACATGGATTACAATCTTTCAGAAGGTAATAATGTCATAGAAAAAAGAAAGTGGATTGAGAATGCAGACCGGGGTGGCTTGAATAGCTTCCTTAGAACACAGAAGGAATACTATATTTTTTAAAGTTAAATTTATTGAATGTTTATTATATTCCAGGTGTGAAGCTAAGACTCTCTCATTTAATCCTATGGGAAAGTGTCACCATCTCTCTTTGATTGGAGTAGAAACAGCAAGTATAGAAGTTAACCAATGTACTGAAAGTCACGAAGATCCAATATATGTGCCCTTAACTTCTCTGCTTTAGAAAAAATACTGGAAAAAGATAAACTAGTTCTTTAGATAGGTAGAATGTGCATTAGCCAGAAAATCACCTTCAACTTATATTTGGGAAAGAGCTATTAATAGCAATGCATAAAGGATATTTATGTTAGCTTGGCTAGAACATAGGGCATATGCTGGGTCACACCAGGGATAAAGGTTGAAAGGTAAGTCAAAATGGATTAGGGTGGGTTTTATCTGGATGACACTGGGAGGGCTTTGAGGTTTTGAGCAATAGTGTAGAGGTTGTGGTGGTGACAAATTTGATTACAGAACCATGGCATCAAAGGGTCAGATAGCTTTGTAGTATGATAGTTGACCATTCTTGCCACTTTGAGTGATTTAATACTGCCGGTTATTTTCATTTAAAAGAAACTTGGCTAATCTTTTGGAAACAAAGCCTTTTAATTGAAAGGTTAAGTTCTAACAATCTCAAATATCAGATTCAAGGTTATTTTATCTTGCCAAGCTATGATGCTCAGTGACCTCAAACCTCAAATAAAGTTTCCTAAAGTTGACTTAAAGTCAAAGACCATTATGTCTTATAGCCTTCATTCTAAGATCTGTTTCATCCTAAACAAACAAACAAAAAATTCCCATAATGTCAGTTTTATAAAAATATATAAATGAAACGATATTTTGAAATGTGCACACCAACAGGAACACCTCCCTTTTGTAAATTACATCTATTGGCTCAAGTTGTCATGCCATTATAGTTCCTAATTTGAAGAAGAATACAGAGCATGTCCCCATTTTGCATGTTTCTCCATGTCACTGTATGAAAGGATAGGAAGAATAGTACCAAGGAGATATGCTGGTTAAAAGGTGGGAGTAGAGTAAGAAAAGATTTCCATGGTACAAGAGTAACACATACCTTGCTGTGTCTTTAAGTTAAATTCCTCGGAGATATAGTAGTTTGTAGGGTAGCAATATTGGACAGGTAGGTAAATGCATAGTCTGAATACAAAATGATGAAGCAATGTTAGGATTCAGTTACCTGAATTAAACTCAAAAGTTAAGAGAACTACAAAGCAAACATGAATATGTTTGAAAGCAGGTACAGTAGGTTGCCATAAGCTTTCCACATGATTGCCTTAGACATCGTTAATTAAACATGCAACAGCTTTGTTGTGAAAATCTCCTGATATGTTATAAAATGAAGAGCAAGCTTTGAATCAGATGGTAATTAGAGTTAAAGAAAAAACTCTTCTGTGCTAGCATTTTGAAAGCTGCTGAGAGTATGGTCTATGGTTGGTCAGATTGGGGATCTTGGATCCACAGGGGTCTGTGTTGGCACTAATGCATTCACGACCTAATTTAAGCATTTTTTTTTGTGTGGGACCCTCGCCAGTGGCCGGGGATCGAACTGGCACTACAGAGGCTGTGGGCAGCCTCGCAACCCAGTGCTCAACCGCTGCGCCATCAGGGGAGGCCCTAATTTAAGCTTTTTAAAGAGCCCAATAGGTATCACATCTTTACCCACAATACAGCTGCACACACAAATTAAAAAGAAAAACAGGCTTCTTTGACTTGAGCAGAATTTGTGTTAAGGGGTAAACAATTTTATGGGCTGAGACAAAGGTTTCAACTATTTCCTCAACTTTTATTAGTTCCTCAGTAAACAGTTTCATAGATACTTCCAACAGGAGAATAGGAAGTTGTCCTTGGATGAATTATCATGTAGAAAACTATTAACCACTATGAATATTATTAGCCAGGTGATTACATGCATCAGCCCAGTAGCTGTAGCCCTAGGCTGTATGTCTCATTGGTAGAAGTGAAACCAAGGACTTGAAAAGACCATACCATCTGGAGAATTTCAGTAACAGCTTGTCTGCCTTTCTCAGGCTGTGAGTAGATATAAACTAGAGGAACATATGGATATTGCTCATTATAAATAACCTTAAAGTAGGAAAATAGGTACTCAGAACTGTTTTGCTTATACCAACAGATAAGGCAAGCTGAGGTTTCCCATCTTGCTCAATTTATAACAGGTTATAATTAATGTGACAAATGAGAGTGACTTGAGTCACTTAATTACCTAGCCATCTGGTTACTGTTAATTGAACACCTACTATGTGCACCAAGCATTTTATTAGGTTGTAATAAAGTAACATGGAGCAAGTGACAAAATAGATGTTATTATAAATGTGTAACTACCTTACTCCTACCTTTTAACCAGCATATTTCCTAAGTGCTGTTTTTCCTATCCTTTCAGTACAGTGACATGGAGGAAGTGACAAAATAGATATGATCTTTGGGGATTTGCAGTATAAGCAAGGGAGAGAGAATGAGCAAGTAATAGTTAAAAGCTAGAGCTAAGGTTTCTGATAAGGGTAGAAAGTTCCACTACCATTAATAATGTTTCATAAGAACAAAATTAGTAGTACTTCAAGGAACTCTATGTAAATTGCTTTCTTATTTATATCAACTATGAGAAGATGCAAATTTTGTTTTAAGAGTTTGATTACCCTTTGGAACAGACAGTTTTAAAGTTATGATATAGACTTAAGACATTTATTAGTTGGGGGATATTTACATTCAATGTCTGGGAGTTTCCTGGATCCATATTGCAATCTGGATGAGAGCTAGTGTGATAGAGCCAATGGGAGGAAAGAATCGCGAGATGTACTAGGTTATTAAAGAATAACCTAAAGTTATTTCCTAAAGTTATCTTAAATTCCAGAGTTCTGAATCAACGTTTTTCATAAACATCAGACAGAAACATTGTACTCCTTCAGCATTCAGTCCTGTCACAATAGAAGTGTAAGCAATTCAGAGATGATATGAACCTCTACATTCTAGAACCAAACATTGTGAAGTCCTCTTAATGACCAGATTTCAAAGAGTACAACAGTATCACCTTCAGATCAGGTCAAGTTACTGAATTCATATTAAATAAAGCAAAATTATGAAAATGTAACCAGGGCCACCCAAAAATGCCTGTCATTATTTGAGGAGCACAAGTCAGTTACCAGAGCAGGAGCACGGGCATATCAGGTGGCACTTGGTCAATGTCAGCCTTCCTCTAGATAGTAGACTTTACTCCCATCCCAAAGAGTAAGCTCTCAACAAGCATTGGCTGCCTGAGTGTGAGAGGGTAGGTCCTAAACTAGAACATGGTTGCATACATTGCTTTGTCTGAAGAATTCTGGAATAAAAAGCTGAACATTTGGATCACTATTCACCCTCTGGCAACAAGAACAACAAAACTGATTTTGTACATGGACACCCCTAAATGACCCAGAGCAGTATTGTCCATAGCTTAGCACAAAGCTAAGAGTTTATCTGTTTATCTTAGACTGCTCATGTATCTGCTGAATCTGGCAAACCTTTGACTCTTATTCCTGTAATTATCCTTTATTTCTGTATCTCTCCTCCCTCCCCTACCAATTTATTTTACTTGTTCCAACATTCCTCCAACACTACCTCACTACCACTCCAACTTTCTGCGTCCAAAGAAGCTATACTACCTTGAGTCACACACCTTGTCCCCTGCTCATATTACAGCCAAATAATATCCCAATGTTATTTTGATATTTCCTATACAGATAGCATAGGTATTTCTTAATATAATTAGAATAATTGAACTGAAAATAATACTGAACTAGAGAATTTGTGGGATGGATTCTTCAAATTTCTTGAAAGAGTCAATATGAATCTTGTAAGAGACTAGTGGTAACTGAGCTTTTATGGCTGAATGGTCGTAGCAGAGCCTGTCACACCTCATGGCTTTCCTGACTTTGTACTAATCAGGTATCAGTGTTCAGTTCCTTTATTCATAGTTACAGCATCGCAGAGATTCAAAGTCTTTTGTAATTAGAAAACAAGTGCATATAACTACACACACACACACACCATGCCTTCTCCTGTTGCCTCCCTAGTCTGTAATACTTCCTGCCATCACTTACAAGATCTTTTTTTTTTTAGATTTATTTATTTTTATACAAGAACTGGAGTACAGGCCAGATGCGCGGGAGGGTGAGAGGATTCACCAGAAAGAAAGAGGGGAACAGAACAGGCAGACTGACGAAATACATTGTGAGGGGAGCAGCGGGAAAGACAGGAGAGGTCTGCTTTGCCATGTGGGATTTTTGCCGGCCTGTTGGGATCACTGCAGAGGCTGCAGATAGCTTCACAGCACTGCATTCAACCACCTGTACCACCAGGGAGGCCCCACTTACAATATTTCTGACCCATCATTCACATCCACTCAAGATATACAGTCTTAGGGAAGTCTTCATTGACCTCTCACCGGCCCTCCCCTTTTTCTACACTTGCCATAATCTGTGTTGCCTTCTCACGTAGAATTCTTCTTACTCAATACAGTTCTAGCTCAAGAAATCACTGGTCTTACTTTTTCAGGCACCACACTGTCTGGTAAAGAACAGTACACTTAAAACACTAGTAGTAATACATATTTTCTACTTGCTTCTTAATATCTGTTTAGGTAAAACTTTTCTCTACTTTGCTGATTTTTCATGGAATACAGCTTTTTCTTCAACTGCTGAGAAATCTCCCAACTCATCCTACCAATATATGCAGGTTAATTTATTTGAGTCAGAGTTTTGTTTTCCCAATGTAGTAAGAAAAGCTACTATTTAGCAAATAAAGATCTAAATTCTCACCCAGACAGACAGCCAAGGCTCAGTGCCATACATGTCTCCTTTCCAAACGATACCCTCTCTTAACTTTCTGCAACCTGTAATTTTTATTGGTCAGACTGACCAGTCAATGTTTTCTGGACATATGACTACCTGCATGATTTGCTTACATGTTCTGTCTAGACACATTTTTCTTATACCTGTGCTGATTTGACTTCCAACAACCTTTTAAAGGTCTACTCCATTTTCACCCTCATGTCCCTTTCTTTTTTTGGACCCTACTCTGCACTATTTCATTATAATAAAACTCTGTGTGATTTGAATAGTTGTCTTTTTCTCTAAATTTCTCAAAGGCATCGAGTGCTGACATATATATGTCCCCTAGCAGGTGTTAGGTAAATAAGTTAATCTACCTTTCAACTTTTAGTCATTGGAAACTTTAGACAGCCAGTCAAGTCAGAAACTCTGAAGAATAAGTTGACAGGCAGCTAATCAAGCATATAAGCATCAAAATAACCTTCAGAAGACAGCTTGAACACTAAATAAAGCTATCCTTTAAATTCAAGGATGCACATTTCTAGAAAGCCTCAGCTGTAGCTGGTTGAACATTTGTCCAGGCAGATAACAATATTAATTCTCCTTACTATGAGCTAATTCCAGATGAAGAGCTGGTACTATCAGTTACACATTTGCCTTCCACTTCAAAAATGAGATTGAATTTACTGTACTAAATGGGATGTTTAATTTTGAAGTCAAATGCTAAAAAAAACCTGAAACATAGTGCTATAATTAAAGAACACCTTAAGCTTTGCTTTAAAGGGCAAATATTTGAATATCTGCTATGTAAAATCATTCAATTTCTGATCCTCTGATTTAAGGTCAATTACAGGTTTTTCAGCTGGATTAATACTGTGCCCTAAAATCTAATTAGTTCAACATTCTTCATATGACTATGCCAGCCTTCTGACAAATATTCCAACACATTTGATTTATTTCTGCTGCACAAAAATGCTAATAAAAAACACTTTAGCATCTGTGTTACATATTACAGAAGATTAGATCAGGATTTAGCCCCCTCATAGGACACTTAAAATATGAACCATAAGTGAGGTTATTGGGGTGAAATGTTGCGGACAAGCAGGGCAGAAATGTCCAATATGGACACATTTAGTGAAGTTATTATTCACTTTCAAGTTCTTCAGGTATGGATGAACTCTAGACCTTGGGAGCACTCAACCATCCCATCCAGATGAGATTTAAGTGGTACCTTAAGAGTTAATGTTTGTGGGCCTGTGTTGGTTGATAACACATTGCCATATTCTCCTGCCCTGCTTGACTCTCACGGTGCATGGT